AACTCTCCTTGGCCTATTGGTTGAGAGCTTAGGCTTCCAACTAAGAGGTTCAGGGTTCGAGTCTGTGTATGCGTTGTGTGTGTGAGTTTGCCTTAAATGGCCTAAATGTCCCAAAAAAAAAAATTATAGAATTTATTTGTTTAACATATAAACTACTATTTATATACTTAATACTCATAATTTTAAGTTACATAAAAAATAACGCCCTCCTCATCCTTTACGCTACAATCACCTCACCGATGGCAAGGGCGAGATTATTGGTAGTAAGTTGATGCAACAGTGGGGTTTCAGTAAAAGGCGGTGGAAGTTATAAGTGAAGAATACAACGAGGATGTCACATAAGACTAAAAGATTTAAGGATGATGACTAAAGCAGTGCATCATAGACGCCACAATTCTCGACAAGATCCCTTCGCGACTTCCTCATCTCTTCTTCGTTAATGGAAGCTCCTGCTGGCAGAGGAGGGGGATAGCCGTAGAAGCCCCTTCCCGGTAAGATCCGTCGAGACTTTCTTGTGTTAGGAGAGAACCGTCGCAGCTTCCTTTTCATCATTAAGAGTTTCATTGACTCTATTAACCTAGTGCTATATTATGTAATAGTGAGTTTTAGGTGTTAATTATGTAAATGCTATAATTTTGACTGCTTTGGATGTAAATCCCCCTTAAAAATAAGGAATATCTGATTGTTCAAAATTGTCTGCTCATAAGTTGGTTTTCTGTATTTCTTAAATCAAACTTCTTTATACTTTTCATCAAACTTGCACAACAATTTTCACCTCATTGTCCAAAAAACTTAACATCATTTATCCCACTCTCTCTCTTATTATCTTTACAGATAGATAGTATACTCCAAACTTAATATTTTACATTACATAAACTTGAACTTCATTTCTAAGTTTTTTTCAAAATTAATTAGAACTGAGAAGTTCGACATAAGGAGAAGAAGAGGCCAAGCAAAGGTAATAAGAACCCTCCTGACAGATGCCGGTGCAGTTCTGATGATTCTATACAAAGGCCCCATCTTCGATCTAGTCTTTTACTCCAAAGCTCGAGAGAAACAAAGCAATTCTACTAACTCCATTGGGCAAGGCAAAGACAGCTCCAAGTGGGATGAAAGGCACATTTATGATTATAGGGAGCAGCACCAGCTGGTCGGCCTTCTTAATCCTACAAGTAATCCAAACAAGCCTTTTTTAATTCCAATTTGTTAAGTTAAGCATGCACTAATTGCAAATGATTTACTAAGTATGTTCTATTAACACAGTCAAACACATTGGAATTATATCCAGCTGAACTTACCCTTACTGCTTTGATCTGCTCAATGGGTGCGGTGATGAGTACTACGGTTGCATTAGTGGCAAATCATGCAAGTAGCAAGCCATGGATTATTGTTTTGGATAAGCGGCTTCTTGCCCCAATCTACACTGTAAGCAAATCCTTCACTTATTTGTAGAAAGTTGTTCACATAGAAGAAAGTTCTTTTGGATTTGAATAATGTTCTATATAAATTACAGCACATGCTATAAGTGTAGAACTTGAAGAAGCCTGTGAAGGTTTTATGTCTGAAAGAGAGCAGCTCTCATGCTTATAATTTTGCAGGGGGTGCTATGCACTGGAGTTGCTTATTATGTGCAAGGGATAGTGAAGAAGGAGAGGGGTCCAGTGTTTGCAAGTGCTTTTCGCCCTCTTGTCATGATTATGACAGCCATTATGGGCTCCTTTATTCTGGCAGAGAAGTTATCTCTAGGAATGTAAGCATTAATGAATTATGAATAAGATGTTATAATTCTTTTAATAATAGTAAAATATTATGTGTAGTAATTTAATTATTTGAAAATTTTCTACTCCCATAAATGACCGACATCATTAGTCACATCTCCATAGGCGGATCCCTCTTAAACTCAGGGGGTTTATTATATAATTTTTTAGGTAATTTGTTCATCTCCATCTATTTTTTTAGTCATTATTACAATGATTTTTAGGCAATTGCGCCCCCCTCTAAAAGTTATAAAATACTATGATCTTTAGGCAATTGTCCCCAACATAATTAAACACATTCTATAAAGGTGTAATTGTATTGGGATTTTAGAAAAATTGTCCCCCCACCCCCCACCCCTTCAAAAATTGTTCCGGGGGCATTGTCCCTTGACCCAATGATCTGATCGGGCTGGTTCAACCCCGCCAGGGAGCGCTGCCCCCTTGGACCCCCAACATTTCTGTGAACGGCTCAATGATATAAATAACTAAGGGTCGAGCTAAATTCAAGGCAACTTCAACATACATTTTGTAGAAATTGAATGATTAATCATCTTTAGCGATCATTTTCTTTTTGTCTCTATTTTTTATCGTTATTGACCTATTTTCTTTTAGCTAAGTGTCGAGCCAAATTGGAGGCAAAATCAATAGTTACTTATAAATTTGCCTCCTAGAAAATTAAGTTTGGGTCTGCCATTGCACATCTCAACTATATATTTGGCTAATGAATATTCCTATTTTCTTAACAACATTCCATTATAAATTCGATGTTATCAAAAGCATTTTCTCAAAACAAGTAGAACGTACAGCTTCAAACAACCACTGACTTAAAAAAAATAGCAAGTGTTCCTTTAATAACTACGTCGCTGAATTCTTTCCATGAACTCTTTTGACTCTTCTTCATTGGTAACTTTTACAGGACTATTGGAGCTACTATAATGGTGGCATGTCTCTGCCCACTCATGTGGGGAAAAAGCAGAGGTTATCTAAGCTCATCTGAAATTGAAAGAAATGCAGGAGAATCAGAGCTGCCTGTAGCTACATCCAATGTTAGCAATAGAGATTCCACCATGAATGGTCAAGATCCCAAAGATGAAAAAATATCAATTGTTCTATAATTATGGAGTGCGGTTATACACTCTTGTTGGATAAGTGTATTATCCAAGGTTTAAATTTAAATTAAGTATAAAATATTAATTTAAATTATTTATAATTAAGTTTAAATTTAATATTCGTTCATGCAAATGAAGACTAGTTATATAATATCACATATCAATCATTTTATCATATATGAGATTCCTACTAAGAAATACATAAAAAATAAGAGACATTTGGTTCTAGTTTATGCCACTATTAAATTTAAAGTTTTTCGTGAATCACGAATGACCATATTGAGATTGTTGAGCGAAATAAGAGCAGAAAAAGAGAAGAGAAATAATTTTAGAGTAAGAATCTCTAAGATTTCTATAAAGTAAGCTCAAGTATAAAAAATTGGATAAATTGAGCTCACCCCTTTCCCTTAGATAGGGCTTGAACGTTATAAAATTGATTATATGCATGGCTATTCAAAAGATATCAAAAAATGCAGTTGTATATCTTAAATGGAATGCTTAACTATTGAGAAGTCTTCTACTTGACTACTTGATTTATATTAATAGACAAGTAGCTAAATAATCGTTCAATAGCTTCCATGAAGTTACCCGCTTGCATAATTGCATGAGTCAACTTCATAGGTTGTACTTGTTAAGGTTGGTTGATAGGCCACATTTGTCTGTTTGAGATGAATTTTTCGATCATAGTCACCTGCTTGAGGTGAGTTCACTTATAGACAGACAACTCCTTTTTAAGCTAAGATGGAGTATTTTGAGTTATATTAGAAGGAATCAGGTTGACTTGGCTTGAACCCGATTTTCTAGATATTTAGATATACAATAAGGAAATGATTGAAATCTCACATGAAAGAAAGGGAGTCCTAAAAAAAATTTATTGTCTTCCTATTCTCACACCCATAATGAGTTATAGAACTTAGCAAGCTTCAAATTCACACATAGAAGTATAGAACTACCATCAAGGCGCAGGCACTAGCTAACTTAATGTAATCAGTGTTATAGACGAGAGGAATATAAAGATAGACTTGTTATGGACTCTCTATGTTGATGGTGTCTCAAGTGCAAAAGGACATTGGAGTAGCTTTGAGGAGTCTAACAAGAACAACAATTTCCTACATGATCAAATTAGGCTTTCAAATCACCAATAATGAAGTTTAAAATAAAGTGTTGATCACAAGCTTAAGATTTACTATAGGAGTAGGTGTGAACCATTTGGCTATGTATTACAGCTCTCAACTTATTGTAAATCAAATTAATAGGCAATATGAGGTAAAAGATGAAGTTCTTCAAAATTATTTGTTCAAAATAAAAAGTTAATATAGAGAAATGTGAGTGCTTTAAAATTGGGCACATTTCTAGAGATCAAAATCAATTCATTGGAATGCTTTCTACGATGATTTTTTTTTTGTAATGATGGTAATATTAATCTATAACTCATATAAATTTCATCCTAAAATGGGGTTGCGTGATGAGGGTATTAAGAATGATTCGGGTGGTGTTAATGGTATTGATGTTGTTGTGGCTAGTACTGATGCTCAGCGGGCGTCCGATACTAATGGGTTTGCAATCATTTCAATTTTGGATAATGTAACTTCAATCCTGCCTTTCTCGCTTATTAATATTGTGACAGATGATTCTAGTGTTTGTAATCTAGTAGGTAATGTTGTTGACAAGTCTTGTATCAACCAGGAGGGTGTCATGGTGGTTGTTAGCCCCAACCCGTGCTTGATTAATTGTGTTTCTTCTCCGACTCCATCTCCTAATGCGTGAGGTGTGGTAGATTGTAATTCTATTTCTGTGGGGGTTATGAGCAGTGAAGTTGATGTTCATTTGGTATCTTCTGTGGTTCTGCCTCGAGTTTATCAATTGAGAATGTTAATGTTGGACTTGCTTTGCCTTTATTTATAATTCTGAAATCTGCTTTGTTTGCTAAACTGGCTGTTAATGGGATGGATTTTGAGTTGGCTGAGGGTGACTGGTTAGATGATTGTGATACTCCTATGTGGGGTGCTAAGAATGACTTTGATGTGCATGAGTCTATGGGGATTTATGATCTTAATGAGATCTGTGTTATTGAGACTGGCTCTTTAAAAAAAGCATGTTTTTGAAAACGAAGGAAAACTAACAGGAAATGATTTTGGGTGTTTCTATCTGGTAGCTTGTGGTTGGTTTTGAACAATAATGTGCAGATTTCATGCAAGCCCCTTGGACGATCTAGGCATGTTTGACAACTTTGGTAGTTTGTTTTCTCTCAGATTTCATGGTTTTTTTTACTTCTGTCGGATTTCTGCTGGTGCCTTCTCTTCCTCCTTGGATGACCCAAGTCTGACATCTAGGTGGCGGTCCGAGTTCTAGTGCTTTTGGGGAAGTATTTATTTTGCTTTGTTTTGACTATTTTGGTCTCTATCCTTTATTGTAATTTTGTTGGCTTTTTCCTCGCTCTCTTTGGGCATATTTTGTCCTGTTGTTGTATTGCTCATCTTTTCTAATAAATTTTACTTTTGGGACAAAAAAATTAGTCGTGCCCCTCATCCTTGAATTAATTTATTCTCACACATTAGGTCAAGCCAAAAAGGGGAAAAGAATTAAAAAAAAATAGTAAGCCCATAATAATATGATAAAAAGTTTTAAAATTTATAATCCGCCATATACAAAAATTCTTTTTAATTTTAAAGCTAATCCTAAACATCATCATGATTATGTAAAATCTCATCTATTCACAACTAACTCACAAGTCATTAAAGGCCCCACATTTCTATTATTGTAATTATTAACTTTTTATAATAGTTTTAAAACATTTTTTTTTCATACGCACAAACCATCATGATAAATAGAAAAATAATACATGAAATTTAACTAAAATTAAAAATAAATAAATAAAATAATATCCAAATTATTCATATATGGCTAATTTAGTTCTGGAGTATTACGTTGCCCCAATTTAGTCTATTGCTATAAAATTGATTCAAAATAGTATCTCATATTATAATTGTGATATAAATTTAATCTCAATTTAGTCCAACGACTTTATAAAATTAATCTCAATTTAGTCCCAAAGAGACCATTTCGGATCAATTTAGTATAGCTGATGGACTAAATTAGATTAACATTATACTCTGGAATTAAAATTATCATTTACAAATAAATAGGAGATTATTTTCAAATTTAATACATAAGAATTTATACCATCATCTTAATTATTTTAGCTTTTTTATGTCGTACACATAAGCAACCAAGCAAAATAGATCCATTATCTTACATAAATATGAAAAACTCGGAGTTGTAGTATCATAATTATGACACACTGTTCACTGTTATTGTTGTGCATGTCTTGTGGTGGCAATTGCAATATAGGTCATGATGCACTGTAAGGTTTTGTTTGTGACAGTTTTTTTATTGTTTCTTCACAGCTTCAAAAAATTTAATTTTTATATTAAAAAGTTACTTCAACAAGCAAGAAAAAAACTGTCCCAAATGAAATCTAAGTCTTACTGTGACACAAAGATAGCCTTCAGATCTTGGAAAATTTCTTTGAATGAAATGAGTTGATGGTAAATATATATTGATGGACATTAATCGTAGTTTCAATAATTATATTAATAAAATATTTTTGAGAATATTAGACATTTCCCATTTAAAATTGATTCATCATCAAAAAATTATCTTGATTGGACATGAATCTCAAGACAAAATCAAGATGAAAACTTCCAAAATTAAAATTGGGACCATTCGAACTTCGATTTCAGCAAACTTATAGTCAAACTGCACGTCTCGGAAATATGAACCCAACGACTTCAAATTCAACTCATTTCGAGCCCAAATGGGTCCAAATCAAGGGCTTGAAGCACTGTTGGAAGGCTCAAACCACAATTTATATTACCAAACGGTTTCCAAACGTGACATGCATATAGTCTAATAAAGCAGCTCAACGAGACGAATCCAACGAACCCAAAATCACGGAATTCTGACATCATTAAGACCTTCAAATGTCTAATGAATGATCCGCAATCAAGGGATTCAACATCAGCAGTCCATCCAAACCACTCACCATTTATCCTTGATCTTCCTTCTATATATGGGCCACACTACTCTAGGAAATCTATAAATAGACCCCTCCTACCCCTTGAAAAGGTACCCCAAGCCAAAGGAAACAAGAGAGAGATCGGAGATCGCTCTTGCCTCCTTGCTCCTACTCGACCACTGTCAGGAGTTCTTCTAGAGCACCACTTGAGGTTCGGACTTCTGCCAGACCACTACCTGAAGCCCGAAGTTCTATCGGACCATCACATGAGGCCAAAACTTTTGTCGAACCACTACCTGAGGGTCGAACTTCTACCAGACCACCACTTGACGCTTGTAGTTCTACCAGATCACCACCTAACATCGTTGTTCTGCTGGTCCACCACCTAAGGCTTGAAGTTTTGTCAGACCACCACATAATGCCCAGAGTTCTTCCGGGCCACCACCTACCTAAGCCCCAGACTTCTATCAGATCACCATCTGAGCCCCAGACTTCGACCGCCGCACCACCTAAGGCTCGAACTTCATTCGGACAACCACATGAGTGATGGACTTCTATTGCACCACTTGACGTCCGGAGTTCCGTGGAACCACCATATGATGCCGGACTTCCACCGGACCACCGCCCAAAGTTGAAGTTTGGCCAAACCACTGCCATGCTACCAACTAATGCCCTAATTTTCAAGTAGCACCAGACTTTTGCTAGTCCACCAAGTGATGCTAGACTTTCATCCTCATTTGTCACTAAATTTCAACCATACGATTGACATTTGTAATCTGATCTCCCTCAAGGACAAGTCAGCCCACTGTAATCTACTTAAATTTTAGTGGAATCATTTTCAATTGGGTCAGGCCCCATGATTTTTCTCCTTTCTAGGATTTTCCACGTAAGAAAACCTTATGTTCTCTGTATGTGAGCTAGATATCCGTACAATGCTAAGACATATGATTATAACTCTATTGCCGCGTATATTCTAGCCCGCAATAAAAATAATTAAAAAGATGAAAGGATTTTGCCTTTTTTTATATGGATGTGCTCTTATATTCAAGAATAGTATTTTTTTAAGAAATGTTTCATGAAAGAGAGACTTATAAAGTTTTAATATCTCCAAGAAGTTCAAATCATATTACATGATTTGCATAATATCAAGCATGTGCTTGGACCATCACTAGCCATCAACATATTTTACTCACAAGAGATCTATGGGAGTCGATCGAGTAGGCCTTTTTGTTGAAAAAATTATTGCGTGCGAACATCGAATGCGTACGGATGTCAATTCAGACGAGCCACAATGTATTGGGTGATGTGGCATGTCCAGATTGATCTCCAGACACATTCGGCATCCGCACGTAATAATCTCTCCTTTTGATAGGAAGTCAAGCTTTATGTTGCATTTAGGGAGCCATGGAAGGATCGAGCCGGACAATGCAACTTTGTATTGATTGGTTCAATTGATTTATGGTATTTTTGGATGTCGAATTCAAAATATTTTGATGCTGATGGAATCTACATGATGAATCAGACTTTATAATGGTAAACTCAATATAACTTAATTTTGAGCTTTTTTATCAATTATTTTAAAATTGCTTTGAGATGCATTGTACACTTCAAAGAGATGGTGATTTTTTGGAACCCAATAGGCCCACTAGAAGGTAGGTACATCACTAAACCCTTAATATACATTAATCATTTATCAAGAGAGATCACCAAATATCTGGGTTAGATGGGAGATAAGATAGATGTTAGTCTCTGTGGAATATGATTGTGTTGATCAATCGGGTTGCATTGCGCAGCACTGTGTTTCGAATGCAAAGACGCCCCAGCACTGTGTTTCGAGCGCAAAGTTTGTTTGGAGAAATGATAGAGAAGCGTCGCAGCGCTCTAAATTTGGCATTGTAGCACTGTTTGATGGACCGATGACAGAGACTTGAGTGTTGCAACTCTTGGAGACGGATTGAACAGTTTTCATTCTCTTTTTTTTTTCTCAAGGGTGGCATCCTTTGGTGATTTATAGATGCTTTTCTCTTTTGTTTTGTGTGTGAGAACAATATAAGTGTGAAGAAAAGCAAGAAGAGAGTGAGAAAGAAAAATGATCTATGCCTATTTCTCATAATTTTCATCGTGGATTTTTTGGTGTGATGTGGCTCCGTAAATTTTTTCCCGATTTTGAGTTCCACATTAAATCTTGATGTGCTTTACTTTCCACTATATTCATTTTATTATTTATTTTGTCCGCATGATTTACTTCCAATCTCCCAACAATAGAGATAAAAGTAGGATCTTACTTGATCGATAAAAGAAATTTCAAGTGAAGGCTTCCCAATATCGTTATCTTGACCAACATTGACTCTTATCAATTGCTTAATTGATTTTGATCTCCCAGCTCACTTAGCTTAATCGGACAAGGAACCATTATATCATGCTCAAGGTTGATTATAACAGATATATCGAGATAAACAAACGACAAAAATGCAGCCCTCTCAGGCAAGCCTAATCACTTAGGGTTAGTTTGGGATGACTTTCTTACTATTTCTTAAAATAATTTTTTATTACAAAAAAATTCAATTTTTGTACTAAAAAATTATTTTAAGAAACATTAATAAAACCGTCCCAAACGAAACCTTAGGCTGAAGCTGATTATCAATTTTATTTTCATTCAGTAAATGAATTTCTCTCTCTGAAATTTTCTCAAATTAAAAAAGAAATACTAAAGAACTTTAGAAACTCATATTTTGAAGCTAATCTAGTTTCGTATGTGACAGCTTTTTTATTATTTTTTAAATATAAATTTTTAGTTGAATTTGAATTCAAAAAATATTTGTATTAAAAAATTGATTTAAAAAATAATAATAAAATTATCTCAAATTAAGGCAATCATAAAATTTTGTTATTGGACACATAAAACTATAAAAGTCCAAAAGTATTACCTTATATTTAACGAATTCTTAAGCTAATCCCAAAAAACTACGAAGTAACATCTTATTATTTAATTTATGTTCACATTAATATTAAAACAATATATCTAAACATAGTACAGATTAATGCTAAGCCTTCACATTAAATAAAGGAAGGCCACTGTTTTCCCTACAAAGCAAGGTCTGTAACATTTAAATTGGAAAACACATTCGGGTACACAGTCCACCTTTCCAACTTCGCTCATCAAAAAAAAAAAAAAATCACCATTTTACGTTTGTTTCTGGCCGCTGGCACCGTTGGTACGAAACCGCTGCGGCTGCAGCGGAAGCCGGCTCTTTTGACGGAGACACTGGTTGGACCTCCGGTGGACGAAGGAGCCGAAAAGCAGGACGACCATGAAAGTTTTCTTTCCATGAATTTATAACCCCCTCGATATGAGCGGGTTTCTAATTCCCGCAAAACAGCCCCCCGTAATACACGCCTAACGCATCCGATAATTTCCTTTCGTCCCACTCAAAATTAATCAATCAACCAAATTTAGTAAATACATGTATTTGTTTTATTTTACACTTCTAATTCAAGCAACCAAACAGCCCCTTATTTAGTCTTTTTTTTCCTTATTTATAGGGACCTATGAGTGAGACAATGATATAATTACATCTTCTTTTTCTTTATTGCTATTCTCTGTTTTCTCTTTCTTCCTTCATTGCATTTTTCTTGTTCTCGGTTTCTTCAGTACTCGGCATCCTTTAAAGTTTTTGTTTTTCCTCTCGTTCTCGGCATCCAGTGAAGAGATGGTTTACCTCTTAGACCAGCAGCAGATTGTCTTCTACGTCCTCACCCTCAAGTTGAGGGAAACCATCGAGGCTAATCTCTGCATACCCCAGGCAAACCCGATAGCCAGGCCTATTCCCCTCGGCTTGTACAAGTACAATTCTGCGTTCAAACCCCTTCTCAAGTCTCAGCCGCTGCCACTGTTGCAGCCTCCTCCTCCGCCACCGCCACCGCCGCCGTTTGACTCCCCAAGGATCATCTCGAAATTCCTCGAAAAGATCAACCAAGCCCGACAAGACGAGGCTTCCTCCCACTGGGAGACCCAATCCATCTATCGTGTCCCCAAATCCCTCCGTGACGTTGATAAGACCGCATACACCCCTAAGATCGTCTCCATCGGCCCCTACCACCGCGGACGCCGCCGCTTACGCACCATGGATTGTCACAAATGGCGCTCCCTTTACCACGCTCTCGACCGAACTGGACACGACGTCCACCTTTACCTCGACGCCGCCCGCTTCCTCGAAGACCGTGCCCGTTCCTGCTACGTGGCTCCTATCTCCATGTCCTCTGATGACTTCGTTGAAACTCTCGTCGTCGACTCCATATTCTCCCTCGAGCTCTTCCGCGGAGTTGCCCGTGAGGGCTTCGAAGGTCTCAAATACTCCCCCAACGACCCCGTCTTCACCGACCACGACATCATGCACTCGCTCCAGCACGACATGATAATGCTCGAGAATCAGCTCCCTCTCTTTGTCCTCGACTGGATCCTTGCCCTCCAGGATGGCTGCGAGCCTTCTCGCTCATACCGCGTCGCTCCCCTCGCACTCTGCTTCTTCAATCCCCTTATGCCCACCGACGAACCCCTCCCTCCCACTGCATCTTCTGATCCTCTCTACGAAGCCGGCAGCAGCGGCGGAGCCCTACATTGCCTCGACGTCTTCTGCCGCAGCCTCTTCCCATGCCCCACGCCAGCTTCTATTCCAAGGCTGACCTGCCGTGGCAAGCAATCCGCACGCTCCTTTGCCGCCGCTTGCCCAACGCCCTTCTCCGAGGCTTGGTGGCTTCCAATCCCAGACAAGCGGCGTCAGCAGCTCATTCACTGCGTTGCTGATCTCCGTGACGCCGGCATCAAATTCCGTCGCCGGACAGGCGTCCAGTTTTGGGACATTAAGTTCAAGGATGGCGTCCTATACATCCCTCGCCTTTTTATCCACGACGGGACCAAATCCCTCTTCCTTAATCTCATAGCCTTCGAGCAGTGCCATTTGGAGTGCGGCAATCACATAACCTCATACCTTACCTTTATGGATAACCTCATTAACTCGGAGGTGGATGTGAGATACTTGCATGACAATGAAATTATTGAAAATTGGCTCGCGAGCGATGGGGAGGTGGCCGATATGTTTAACTTGCTTTGCCAGGAGGTGGTGTTGGACCGCCATGATTGCTACTTGTCGGAGCTATCGCATGAGGTGAATCGCTACTATAACAGTAAATGGAATACTTGGAGAGCCAGCTTTAACCATAAGTATTTTAGCAATCCATGGGCTTTCATCTCTTTGATAGCTGTTGTTGTCCTGCTTTTGCTGACTGCAACACAGACGTTCTATACTGTTTATGCCTATTACAAGCCAAAGTAGCTACTTTTGCTCTCCGATGGCTTCTATTTAAGACTTTTATCGTATGTTCCACTTTTATTTCATGATGTAAGTTTGATGTCATATGGAATAAGTCCCGAGAGATGTGGCCAATATATCTCTACCTCTGTGTGGATAACCATTTATCATTGTCATTAAGTGATTCCAAGCTAGTCTCATTGGAAGATATCTTAGCATTAATTTTTGCTGACTAAATAATTTGTGATGATATATATCCCTCAATTGCAAAAAACGTAATTATAAAGTATGCAATATAGGTTTTTATTTATATGAGTATGAGTGAGAATGTTGAACATATAATCATTGTATTGAATGATAGTGGCAAGGTATCAACAATCAAATAATAATGTTTTATGATACTATTGTATGATAATAATTACATAGCAATGAATGGATTATAAGATTATGATGATTGGGTGACGGTGGTTAGAAGATGATAGTAGAAAGACAATGATTGAAAGACAATATTCGAGAGATGGTTGTTAGATAATAACAGCCATACGATTGTGGTGTTAAGTAATGATGATTGTTGTCATTGAATGTCAACTATAGCTCTTTATTTATTCAAATCTCTAAGCTATATCAAAATTCAAGTCAAGATCGTTTCATGTAGGGAATGGTAGTCTATTAATAGTACTTGTGGAGCAGATAAATTTGTTTAGATTTTTATAATACACCATTAAACTACTCGTATCGACTATTTTAATCGTAGATCATTCATTTAGCATTTTGATGCTATGTTGTTGGATTTGCCTTGTCAAGATACTCAAATTAAGTTTAAATTTGTTAAAATCAAAGTTCAAAAAATTTTAAATTTAATTATGAAAGTTCTTGACGCAAATAATATTCTGAGATTCAAATCATTCAAATGAATTTTTTTCGATTAAAAAAGGGTTAGTTTAATCCCATTTTTTTAATAAAAAACATTGTCTTCATAGAAACTAGCATAACAATTTGGTATCACAAATCTTTAAATTTCAAAACGCATCTTTTTATTATTAAAAGATGTGGAAAATTAAATTAAGATGGCAATAATTTAGCCCAATTAAACTCCTAATTTTTCTCATGCTAATATTTGGCATAATGCTGCAAATATAGCTTTACAGTTCTATTGTTCTCAGCTGTGGAGGTTTAATGAAGTTCCCTAATCAAGGTTTTATTTGAAGAGAAATTATTCTATGTGGGGATTGTTCGGAAGTGAATTAGAGCGCGCTACATCACCCAGTACACAGTAGGTATATGGCCGCGATACACAACAAAAAGGTGCATGGCCTGCTCTGATTGGCCTCTGGATGATGTCTGGTGTCTACACAAAATAATTTGTGTCGGTTGAGACTTTTTTTTATTGTTTTCTAAACAAGTAACATTTTAGTACAATTTTAGTTAAAATATTAATAACAATCACTATTTTTTGTTTGTGGCTAATTCTCTATTATCATTTTACTATTGTGAGGTCCCCATTAACGGCATCATAAATTATTATAAGTTATCACTTAAAATGTAAAAAAAATTATGCAATATGCTTGAAATTTTCAAAGAATAACAAAACAATGTAAGTGTTGTTTGGTTTGAATTAAAAGGGGTTAAAATATTTTAAATGCAGTGAATTTGAAAATTTGATGTTTGGTCTTAAGTAATATATATATATATATATAGAGAGAGAGAGAGAGAGAGAGAGAGAGAGAGAGTAAAATTTTGGAATTTATCGTCTAGTCAATTTTAATGCATTTAAAATTGTTAGATTCGATCCATCAATTTTCTAATATATTGTAAGTTCTGTAAAATTTCCACCGCCACCATCAGTTGGTTGCTAGCTTTATTTATCACAATGCATATTCATTTAATAATGGAGCAAAACTAACGTCCATTGATGTGGGGATGAATATATTCATTTGATTTCCCCAAAAGAAAATATTTTCATTTGATAGTACGTAATATATCTTTTTAAATATATTTGTAATATATATGCTCAATGCCAAAGCTCTTTCTCACTCGTGATGGAAACCAATCAAATATACCTTAGAATCCTTGTAAGAGATTTTTTCCAAGAACTTTATTGTAGAAGTAGGAAATTTCTCTACATAAATTATTCTAAAATATTATATTCCACTTGACGATGTAAAAAACATATGACAAAATTAATTTTGAAAGGGTTAAAAAATTTTTAAAATAAATTGTGGCTTACTAGTATTTATCATCACAAAAGCAAAAATACAGGCGTAAATGAGTCGAGCTAAGCTTGAGTTATCTTACTTTAAGCTTGAGCTTGATTAATTAATGGAGTTTAGTTCAACTTTAAGTTATATTCTACGAGCAGATTTAGTTATTTTGAATGAGAAAAAATTTATTATAATTCAAATAATAATTATAATAAAGTAATAATAAATGATAAATTAGAATATAAAGCTTAGTGCAAAATTTGACATGAAGCAGCTTGGCGAAATACATGAGTTCCTCGGCATACAGATCAAACGTATGGATCACAACTATTTTTTGTATCAAAAACCTTATGCCATCTCCGAACTTCAGCAAGCTCATATGCTCAATTGCAACCCTCTCTCCAACCCAAATTGCACCAAGCTTCCCGATGATCTCCAAGTGGATCATGTTCTTTCTGATCCCACCGCTTACAGACGTATTACTGGCTCATTGCAGTACCTCACACTAATAAGATCGGACATTGCGTTTATCATAAATCAGCTCTCACATTATATGCATAATCCGCTACCACAACATGTCTACCTTTTAAAAAGTCTCCTGTGATATATAAAAGGTACGTTGGATTTCGTCATTCCTATTATCAATTCTAATCATGTTCTCACCTCCTTTTTAGATGCCGACTGGGCCAGAGATCCCATCACCCGCAAATCTACTTCTCGATACTGCTCTTTTCTTGGCAAAACATTAATCAACTGGACCGTGAAAAAGCAGCATACCGTCGCAAGATCCTCCATCGAATCTGAATACAGATCACTAGCCGCTCTTACCTCAGATCAAATTTGGCTGAGACGACTACTAGCTGAGTTCGGTATCTCTCTTAATCAACCCATAGATATGCATTGCGACAACACGTCTGCTATCGCTTTAGCTAACAATCCAATGTTCCATGCCTGTACTAAGCATATTGAGATCAATCAAAAGTTCATCAGAGATAATATTCAACCCAATAACATTCATCTCTTACCCATAAGTACTATTGATCAGGTAGCCGATATACTCACCAAGCCATTGTCCACAAGAAGATTTCATCAACTACGGATCAAATTAACGGTCATTCAAGACCCATCACTTTGTAGGGGATATTAGACCATAATTCCAAATAACAATTGTATTGTGGTGTGAAACCGCGAATTACTTGCAATAAAACAGGAGAAAAGAGCAATAAGAAGAGAAGAACGGAAGGAGATGAAGAAGAACAGGGAGGGTAGCAGAGAACCTTGTATAGGTTGTCTATTTCATTAATATTCTATCTGTAACAGACTCATGAGTGTCGCAGGCCCGGAATCTACCGGCGGCTGATGAGTGTTGTAGGCCCTCTCCTAGGGTTTCTCCTCTCAAGAACTCACATAGAGATCAAGCAAGAAAATCTGAAAATTTTCATTCATAATCATCATTAACCTCATAAGAGGGAAAAGAGGGCCATAAATAGGCCTCATATAAGAATATATTTGAAAAATAAAAGCAAGCCAACAAACATGTACAATGCAATGGTGAGCTCAGCATGGCACCATGACCCTTTTGGGCACATATAAATTTGTTATGGCATTCGATAAGGATCAAGCTAGCCCTGAAGAATTGTCAATGATCAATAGCTTCTAGAATACTTGTCAATAGCTTATAGAGAAGTATACTTCCATCGATTTACTGATGATTGATTAATGTTGGATATTTTATGAATAGAAAAAAAAAATATATTAACACAATATAAATGATGATTATCATTCTCGAGATATGGCATTGCATGGATGATAAATCAAGTCATCTTTATGTTGTCGTCTTGCTACTATGGAAAAAAAATGAGTATAAGAAGAGCTAAAAGAGACGCCCTTTCATGAAAAAACTCTTTTTTGCAATGTTGTGGCCTTATCTAAACCCATGTAACCATTATTAAATAGAAGGTTTAACATCCTATTCAATCCATTATGCTAGATTCACCGTCAGATGACTCCCTATTAACAAATTTAAGGATAAGATGATGGAAAAATTCAAAGTCTACAGTCAATAGAAACATAAATAATGTGTTAAGTCCATCATTAAAATTTTATATTTGAATTTTATATTTCACTTTTGAGTTCATTTTTTTGAAAATAAATTCATATGTTTCAGATGAATGCATTTCAACATTGAGATTATTTGAGTATGATTCTATTCTCATTTCTATGACTATCCCTTCTTTGCGGTGTATCCTATTTTCCTAATTCATGAGGTCATTATATTCCTAGTAGCTTCTTGTAGGCAGTTTCTTTTAAGGCACTTCTTACAGGTAATCCCTTCGGTTAGGAGTTCTTATCAACTTTTTATTTAATATAAGATCTATTGGCTTTGATAATTTTCCCTGTCCAACGGGCACGGTTGTCTCATGCCCTATTGTGGTTGTGGGTGGTTTCTTTTGCAAAATTTTAACATGAGACTAAAGTTGTTCTTAGATCTTAAATTCTAAGAGAAATAAAAGTACAATTGTTTGACTTGAATAAAAGTATCTTTCAATGTCCAAACTTTTTTTTTATAATCCTCCTCCATCAACTGTCAAGCATCAAACATGAAATATACCAAAAGCAACTATCAACTTGTTCAAGCATGAGGCTTGCCTATAGATTAATTCTTTCACTCTCTTTTTTTATCTTCTCTTCTTTTTTATTATTGATTGAAAGTGTAGATTTATTTCTTTATTTTTAATTCAACTCACAGTTTATTCATGATATTTGACAATGCATTACCATAAGGCCACCAAGATCTTTTATGAAGAAAATTCATTCAACAATAAAACTCTTGGAGCCATCCTACCTAAGAGTTGGATCGTAAGTCTACAGCTTTGGGCCTTCCTCAAATGTTCAGGATGTAAGGCCAAAACAAAAAATACAACACATATTATATACATTCTCACTTGAAACTAAATTGAAATGATGTGAACATATGAATTTGCTAGTGCCCAATCCTCTACAACAAAATGGAATATTTAACAATACTAGCAGGTTGTCAATGGTTATTATGATAAAAATGAAACTTCTCATTCCCAAAAGAATACATCCTCGCAGCCAAGAACCCCACCGCTCCTGCTGGTCATGGTTGATCAAACATTTTAAACTGAGTTCCTATGTACAACTCAAGATATGCATTAAGCTTTAAATATGCTGATAATAAAACAAATTATTTATAAGCAAAATATTAAATATGAATACATTCATGCCAACTAAAGCAAGCATTGGTTGCCTCAATTATGCCTCGATCCGCCTCGACGCTTACGCCTCGCCTCGATTCCCGATTTCGCCTTTTAAAACCTTGATAATAATAATAATAATCTTTAGCAATAACTTGTTGCTTTGCCCTCATATCAGCCATGTGTCCATCGTGCACATCATTTTGTCAAAGATGACAAAATTGGGTTTGATTAAAATTCATAATGAGTAAATGTCATATCAAGTTTATCCATATATTCACCCGTAAAAATCTCCCATCATAAAGGATGAGAAAAACTACTTTCATATCGTGTGGTCATACAATCATGCCTAAAAGATGCCATTGAAACACAAGGCTTGGCAAAGGTCCAATCCCAAATGTTCTCTAATTTCAAAGCCTATGAGTTATGAACCAAAAGGCACACTCAACATGGCATGAAACTCTTTGTATGGTCAGTCTTAAAATATACCCCTTCAATAAACTTTTCCCTATTTCTGAGATGTCCCTTTAGATGATGCAGCATATGGTTATTGACAACAATTTTTTAGGTCATTTTGGGTTTACTCTCTCATTCACTAAATAGGCTAAGGGCTATGATAACCTAGGATAATAAAATCATGTGTTATTGACCATGTTTTTCATTGTTCCTCTACCATCTTCTTTGATCTAGTAGCATTATATTCTTTTCTTCAATCTAAATTGAAGCTATCAAAAGCAAAGTATCATAGAACTTATAGATTAAATGTAGTCAAAAGTGCTCTAGTTATCAAAAGATGTAATTAATCATAAGTCTTATACCCATGATAGACTGCAAACAAGAGAGTAAAGGCAAAATTTTTAGGTTTCCT